CAGAGATGGGTTGAGTTGTTTGCAAATGCTAAACGAGCATTTTGTATTCTTGATAGAATTTTGTCAGCGGTCAGCCGACTGGGGCTGGCTGATGCAATTTCCCAAATAAGTGAAGGGATCAACACGCTCTGCTACTTCGCTCACTCCATATCTTTAAGCTAGAAGTAATTTGACGTAGTCTAGTCCTGTAGCATCATCTTCTATTTGAAATCAGGAGCGAATCGTATGCCAAACATTCAAAGATTACTGTTCAAGGTTCTCAGAAGACTGTACGTTTCGTCGGCATCTTCACCTCAGAGGAATATATCATCCGCATGTTGTAAGTTAACGAGATTATCCCCTGGTAACAAGTCAATCTCTGAGTCGTTGAAGTCAGTTAGGGTCAATTGCATTAGTACTTATACGATGAAATTAAACAGAAATGGGGGTAGTGGGCATCCCTGACATACACCATTGGTTGTCACCACTTCAGATAACAACTCTCCATAGGCTGTCACTTGGCTGCTTGAGTTCGAGTAGAGTGCCTTGATCAGTGCGATGTATTTTCTCGCCATTCCCTTCACAGCCAGCCAAACATCACTATAGTAATTCTCGGTTGACGGAATCGAATGCCACTTGCAGGTCAAGAAATATAACGATTGTTGGAAGCCGATAAGTATGCCTATGTTCCGTTCCAGAATCTATCGAAGGGTGAAGATTTGATCGATACACCCTCTTCCTGTTCTAAAGCCTGCCTGGTTTTGCCGTATCTGTTTCTCCCAAGCAGCATCAATTAATCTACACATGTTTATTGAACTCAGAATCTAGGTTTATAGTCATCGTGAATTGGAAACCACCAGAATATTGCTTGCTCATGCAAAGAATGAATGACCCACCTATTTCGCAATAATAGTCAAAGGTGTAATTTGTCTTTCTAACGTTAGAGAAAGTTATACATTATTTAAATAAACGTTATACCGCACATGCTATGAAACGATTTTGTGCTTCTTCCTCGAATATTCTTTTAATATTATTTCAATTTTGGGTGACTCTAAACTATAGTAGCACAGAACTAAAGTACCTAATGAACGGATTAATGACCTTGAGCAATCAGTGAGATAAGTCCGTACTAGATAGAGAAAATTATGGATGCTGTACACGGATCACACAGCGAATTTCATCCAAATATAATATAGCGTCGGTGGCACAGCGGTTAGGACTCTCGCCGACCATGCACATGGCCCGGGGTTCCATCCCCTGCCGACACACACCCGATATCAATGGTCGGCCTGCTAAATTTGGGCTACCGATATCATATGCTGAAAATTCTATATTTGTATCAATAAAACTATGGTGTGGAATCAAGCTATAATCAAAAATAAAAAAATTTAAGTACTGCTTAGACAACAGGCTCATTGGAAGAGAGTAAACATGTAGCCAACTGTCATGCCTGAGCTATATTCACATCATAGTCAATCATGCAGACGATTTCGTTAATCTTTTCGGTGTGACTCAAACAGATTCCATCGAAAGTTTCTAGAGTCACCCAAATAAGCGGATCAGAGAGGTAAATGAACCAAGAAACACGAGGATTTGCAGTTATCTCGGCAGATTTTTGTGCCGGAATTGGTTCAACCTAACTATGAGGACTCCTATGAGAAATTTAAAGGTTTTGTTGGAATGTATTCAAGGACGTTATTCTACATAACTACTTTTTAACATGCCATTACTTTTTTATAAACGTTTTTCCTTAATTACACACCTCAACTTCTGACGCATCTGATTGGTTGACGGAGATTTGACAAGGTCTTTATTAGGTAGTCTCGTTTTGGGCTGCTACTGTTTAGAGTCACCCACTATAGTAACAGAAATTGACTTACTTTTTGTGTTGTATTCAGCTAGGTTGCACACGAAATGAAAACCGAAGCATCTCGTTGTATTGGAAAGCTCTTTCCCAAGTGTTCTGTGGATATTCATTCCTTTCGGGAAAGTGATGATCGTTGCCAGGGCAATGTTGCTACATTTATGTATGTTAAAGGGACTCATTTATGTCTTGGTCAAATTTTTGTATTGATAACTTTTTAATGTGATAAATACAGCCATTAAAGGCTTTCTTTCGTTAACACGTAAATTTCCATGAGTTTGCTTACAAACCGGAAAAGATATATGGTGGTTGGCTGCTCATCCGGTTGACTTCACTAACTTTAGTGAAATGTGCTTAATCTCCAGCACTCATTATATGGAACCTACGTCAGGACTGTGCATTGAAGTTTGAAGTAGCAGTTTGATTGATTTTCTGGGGTAGGGTCGCTAGCCCTACACCCAACTCTCCCTCTATTCCCGGGCTTGGAATCGGCTAGAAAACTACCGAGCTAGTAAACTAGAGGACTTTGGAAAGGCCTTCGACAGTGTTGACCGTAAAATAATTTTCAAATTAATTCAACATCTTGGTGTGCCCTAAATCTTTATCAACCTCATTTAACAGCTGGCCACAGGAAAATGGTATGTGTCAGGTGATTCACAACGAAATACTCAAAGGGAATAGAGGAGTAATGTAAGGCTGCCAACGTACTATCACCTATTATATTTCTAATTGTGGTGTACTGGAATGTATGGAACACCGTGTGTGACGGGCAAGAAGACAGGTCTGTCTGTCTGTCTGTTTTCGACGTAGAACTTTGCACATATGTGCGGCAGTTCAAGTCGCCACACTCCATGTAGCACACAAAGCAAGAGAAGAAAGTAGGAGAAATGCATAATATAGACAGCAAACAGAGGTGTGAGACAAAGGAGTAGGAATAACGAAGAACAAAACAGTTTCATCGGGAATCATAAGTCACAAGGAGTGGATGCATCTGCGCCACTGAGAACGATTTTGAGCCATGTCACCAATTGTTTCCAACCATTGGTTTTTACCGTCCCGAGGACCCCAACCAGGAAGTCTACATCTCCCTACGTGACTTAGACTAACTGTTGTGGATTTCATTGACTGGTGCCAAGTTTTCGTTTGACCGCCGCTAGCTCTTTTCCAGCCTGACTCTATATCAGCTAACATTGCCCGTCGAGGAAGGCGATGACTAGGCATACGTAACACATGTCCCAACCATCTCAGTCGATGTAATTTCACAGTCTCATCGATCGATTTCCCCGCCTTACCTAGCACTCGACGCCTAACCTCAATATTTCTCACCTTATTATACCACTTCACGACCGAAAGCTGCTACCTTGACGTGGTGGTCGGGCTTGCATATCGCAATGACCCAACGAGCTACACTGGCTGGAACTTAAGTTCCTGTAGGTCCTGCCGTGCCAGAAAGGTTGTTTGGATAGCGGTTAGACAAAAAGCAGCTACCCAATTCAATGCCATGACTCAAACAAAAACACAAAATATCATGCCGGGGCCCGGATTAACAACGACCGCGCTTTCTGCTGCTGTGTCACAGGGCAGAAGTGATAAATACGCTACTGAGACACACCAAATAAAAAAGAAAAGAAGACAGGAATACACTAAACCGATAAGAAGACTCTAGGAGGTCTGGATTTCGTAGGTAACTTATGTCTAATATCACGTAAATTGGAAGGCTTATAGGTTGGAACCAACAAGATGACAGAATGAGCAGGTAGCAAAGACAGGACTTCAAGTGAACATCGGGAAGACAGAGGTGATAAAGATAATCAACCAACAATCAACAACAACAAGAACAATCAGCACCAATCTATATCGACGATAAAAATTTAAAGGAGGTTATTTTCTTCAATTATGTATCTATTCAGCATCGTTTCAACTACAAGCAGGCCGGATGAAGACGCCAGAGCCAGAATCGAAAAGGCGAGGTACACCTTCGTCATTCTGAAATCAGTTTGGAAATATGCGCTCAAACAGCATAACCAACACAAATGTCAAGTCAGTCAGTTTTTCTATATGGGTCAGAAACTTGGCGCACCCGTCACCAATAGCATTTCCAACCAGCTACTGTAGGCTATTATCAACAGCTGTCCACTTCTCTGACTCCACAATGAGGATTAATTGGCCTGTTAGAAAGAATTAGCAACAAGAAACTAAGGGGACAAACTAACCAAAAATGTACCGCCCAACGTATATTCCGAAGGAAACAGAGATGGATTGGGCACGCACCACTGAGAACCGCATAGAATAGGACAGAGTGGATATGTCCTGTTGAAGCCCCCTGTGTTCCACTTGGAACTCGAGGGGACAACAATAATAATAAAAATAACATCAGGATTAAGTTGTTTAAACAGCCCTTTTTCACTTCGATATTTAGAGGTTAGTATACTGTTACTATGCTATCAAGTACTCATGCTGGATTCGCTTGTTTTGTTTTTGGGTTGGTATTTCATGGTTCTTAATAATAAAGTGTCATTTCGTAAGATTTAGTTTATTGTTACTATGTTGTTAGCATTCAGGATGGTGAAAAGGAATTCGGATCGCAACTAGATTTCATTGTTAATTGCACCTTTGTATCTGCACCGAATTTTAAGAATATCTTTTCACTTGTAGGCATGAAATGAATGTGAAACGTCGTGTTATATATTTTGATTCTAAATAATTTTCTCCATAAATATGTGAATATTTGAGATAGATGTCAATTATCCGATGCTGACTGGTGTCTGACTACAGGACGGAGTTTCTTAGAGTTCTAGTGAGAAGTCATGACCAGTAGTGGGGTCCATCCTGTTGGGAGTGAGGAAGAATACTCACCAATGACATTGACTGGTGCAAATCGCTTTAAAGAAGTTATAATTCATGGGTTAGCCGTTGAGTCGGGTTCCGGTGACTGAAATGCGTATGAGCTTGCCTTGTAATTGGAAGGTCTTGGATCGGAACCCTGGCTGTGGGTGCGCACTGCCGATAATTCCCAAACCAGTGCGAAACAGCTGCCTAGTACTCCCTGGTGGTTTTCAATGGTTCTCTAACTGACATCAATCCGTGTAAAAACTTGAAAAACAAATCAAATCCCTGAAAAAAAAAACTTTTGAAGATGTTAATTAATTTACTCTAGGTATATGTTGCATACTTCAACGGATTGTATTTTGGCTGTCTCTGGAATCAGTGCTCCTCGAGGTCCATCTCACAAGCAGTTAGTATCTGAAGCTTTCGAATCATTGTACAAATACGTGGAGATTGGAGCGTGTTGTGATGAGCATATTCAGGATCAGGTTAGTTGCCTTGTCTGTTTTATTTCTCATCTATTCAATTCATCACATGAATAATCCCCATTCAGACAGACAATAATGATAAAAGCAAAAAACACGTAGTGCTCAGTGAAGAGTCTCTTTTCGGTGGTTAATTTATTCACCTAGCTGTACAATCGCAATTTTGTGTGTTCGCTGTTTACTAGCATACCTATTGAAGAAATAGTGAGAATCGTATGTCAGCGATCCGAACTACTTCCTCTTCCTTGAAAAGGAGCTACGAAAATTACTACTTCTTTGTGCAAGGAACGTTCAGTTCCGATTCAACAACCTGCTGCTGGGTTTATCTTTGGTTGCTGCTCTTGAGGACATATTCATGGTTCATATTGAACAGACACGAATGAAGCCGGAAATAAAGAGACCTACCTATTACTTCAAGTTTGTTGACGGCACCTTAGTGGTTCGCAACATTATGGACTTCACATATACGATGTTCGAAAACTTCAGTGTGGCTCACCCTCACACAGCATTTACAATGGACCATGAATATGATAGTTAGTTCCACTTCCTAGACCTCAATATAAAAGGACGAAATAATGGGATGATTGAGAAATCCATCCACAGGAAAGAAAACTGGACTAGTCAATACTTGAATTTTCACTACTTTTGCGTGAGTGGCAAGAAACGGAGCCTGGTGGAAACGCTCTTCAGTAGAGCTAGGGCGTTGTGTTCAGAAGATAAGATCGAAGAGGAATTCGCCGTCATCGAAAATGGACACCTTCGAAAGTTCATATCAAAAACCACCTGAAGTGAAATCCGTAGTTGAAAAGAAACCAGTTTTTATCTCTCTAGCGTACAGAGGCGAGGAAGTATCCACAAGAACAGAAAACAGAATTAAAGGTGCATTGGAAAGAACATTACCCGCCTCCAGACTGATTCCACTTTACAACACAGTATACTTGTTAACCCAGTCCAAAGTAGATGAGTATCCTGTCCCGTATGTCACTTCCAACTGCATTTACCAATTTAGCTGCACTTGCGGTAGCAACTACATAGGAAGAACAGAGAGGAGAGCGTCTACTCCTAAAAGTCTCCATTTGAAAGGTAGCGAAATGTCCTCGGGTCCAATTGCCTGACAGTTAATTTACACGGGACATACAATGGAAATTAGTCAGGCTTTCAGTATAATCAATATAGATAGATTATATGACTAATCTCGCACTTCCCTGGTAACCGCAGTTGTTTTGTTCGTATGCTCTTGTATTTTGTTCTGTTGCATAACATTCCACTCAATTTTGATTTTCACTTACTGAGTTGAAATCATCACTATTAAGTTTCCAAATCTGTTAAATTATTTTATCTATCTTATAATTTTACTTTACTGTTTACCCCCACCCTCTTGAATTCTCCACTACGATATGTATAAATTTACTCTGTTGTTCTATCTTGTATTTTATCTCTAGTCCATCCTTGTTTCCAATCGAAATCTGAAATTCACCCCCCCCCCCTCCCTTGTCTAATTACTATATAAATAGTTACTCTTTTAACACTAAATAATTGTCGACTCACATCATCTTTGAAATTATAGTGCTCATACTTTTTACACCTATAACTTGAAGTGATTGTAAAAGTATGTTCAGAAATTTTGTAACCGATAATTTGATTTTGTTTAGGATGCATGCAGTTGAAGAGAGAGAATCCACGAGATAAAACAAGCTCTCATTATCCTGCAAATATGTTCGTTCTTTCTCTATTTAAAAAGTAATAAAGGGAACCGGTTGTCTGAAACTCGCAATTATGTGTGTAATTAGTTATTTGCGTGTGTGTGTGTGTGTACATTAGGTTTGTCAGACAAGAATAAAAATTAGTGAGGGTTATTGTTTGCATCATCAGAATACTTCTGAAAAAACTATGATGAATAATCAAATTGTAACTAGGTTGGGGGTGGGTGGATTGAAGATTGGTAAGAAGGTAGTAGTGATGAGTTGTTAATGCATACAAGAAGTTCAATAAGTGTATTATAGTTGCAGATGCAGACTTCCGGGTTGGGGCCCTCGGGATTCTAAGAATCAATGGCTGGAGACAATAGGTGACATGGCTCAAAATCGTTGTCAATAGCGCAGATGTATTTAGTCTCTGTAATCTTTCATATTCCTTCCTACCATTACTCATTCTGTTTCACTCTTATACTTGTCAAAACTCTATTTATTCTCTTCACTCATTTTCTTGTCTACCTTTGTGTGCTATTTGGAACGTGGCAACTCGAACTGCTGCACTTCGGTGTCAAGTTCTATGTTGAATCCAGACAGTCAGACAGATTTTAGTTGTAAAGTAAGATGGATAATTGAATGAGTTTTGATTAGGATGCTGATAGGACCCGGCATAAAATATTATTTCATCCATTTCTCACGTATCGTGTGATTTATTATGTGATGGTGTTACTGTGTGAATGAATATATCATTTCTCATGCTTCTCCACAATATGACATAGTCCTTTTTGATTAAGTAGCCCAGAGAAGACTAAGGTAATTTATATGTTGTTAGTGGTAAATGTCAAGTGATCCACGACGGAAAACTCAGCGAGGCGTTTGGAGTAAACACAGGAGTCAGACAAGGGTGCTTACTATCACCAATGATATTCCTAATTGTGGTGGACTGGATTATGCGTCAGACAGTAGGAAACGAGAAGACAGGGATATCCTGGACCGACGTGAAGAACCTAGAAGACCTGGATTTCGCGGATGACTTATGTTTGATGTCACACAAAATCGAAGACTTACAAGCGAAAACCGACAAACTGGTCGAAGAAGCAGCAAAGATAGGACTCCAGATGAACATAGACAAGACGGAGGTTATGAAAATAACCAACCAACAACAACAACAAGAGCAGCAACATCCAGCGCCAATCACCATCAACGGGAGGGATTTGAAAGAGGTTACTTCATCCACTTATCTAGGGAGCATCGTCTCAACTACAGGAGGAAGGGACGAGGATGTCAAATCGAGAATCGGGAAGACGAGAAACACATTCATCAACCTGAAACCAATCTGGAAATCTTCGTCACTCAGCATCAACAACAAAATTCGGATTTTCAATACAAACGTCAAGTCAGTCAGTTCTTCTATACGAATGGATCAGAAACTTGGCGGGTCACCAAGAATATTTCCAACAGGTTGCAGACCTTTATTAACAACTGTCTTCGCTCTATACTGAAGATCAGATGGCCGGAAAGGATCACCAACAAGAAACTATGGGAACAAACAAAACAAGAACCAATCGCTCAACAAATATGCAGGAGAAAGTGGAGATGGATTGGACACTCGCTGAGGAGGCCGCTGGGTGACATCGCGCGTCAGGTCAGTGCTCGAGTGGAACCCGAAAGGGAAGCGGCGAGTGGGACGTCCAAGGGTGACATGGAGGAGATCGTGTGAAGGGGAGTTGAAACAGTATGGACTAACATAGATGCAGGTGAAAAGTACGGCAGAAGACAGAAGCAAGTGGAGACGTGTAGTTGAAGCCCTATGTTCCACTAGGAACCCAAGGGAACAATAATAATAATAGTGGTAAATGAGTCGTGAGAAGGACCTCTGTTGCAAGTAACGGGCAATGATGAAGAACACAAAAGATCTCTAATTTAAAGTGGATAATTTTAAAATTAATGAAAAGTTCATCAGCATCATTATTTTTTGGTTGTTTATCCTTCATTATATTTTGATTTATTCTGTCACCATTCTTGTATTCCCTTTGTAGAGTAAAGGCATTTCCCAAAATGGCTGTGAGATAGTGTCAGTGTACATTTCAGACCTTTGAAGGCTTTTATATAACACCTCACATTTTAGTTTACGCTAACATTCACTTCACCCTTTTGACTTTCAGCTCATCATTCCAATGGCATTGGCTAAGGGGAAGTCACAAATACGGACTGGACCATTGACAATGCATACTAAAACTGTGATTTATGTTGCTGAACTTATGCTTGGTGTAAGTTGTTTGATTTGAATATCTATTACAGTAAATACATATATATATATATATATATATATATATATATATATGTACCACACAAAGCAAGAGAAGATAATGAAGCGAGGTAATAAACAGCATCACTGAAAACGACTTCGACCTGATCCACCCTATGTCAGCTAGGCTAACATTGACCCTTTCAGTCAAGGAAGGTGATCGATGAGTAGGGATGCATGTGTAACACATGTCCTAACCATGTCACTCAATCGATGTAGATTTACAACCTCGTCAATTGATTTTCCTTCCTGACTGGCTGGTTGGGGTCCTCGGGATGGTAAGAACCTTTGAAGGCTGGAGGCAATTAGTGGTGATATGGCTGGCTCAAAGGTGCTGTTTATTATCTCTCTTCCCTCTATTCTCTTGCTATGTGTGCTACATGGACACGGGGGTGGGAAGTCGAACTTCTACACATATGTATGTTGAAACCAGTCAGTCACCCTTAAAGTCTTTCAGCTTTTTCTATACTGAAAAAGAAATTTTCTGATTTTTATATAAATCAGATTTGTTTTTATATTATCTGTCACTATGTCAAAAAAAGTGTTTGTCTTATAATCTGACACATCCCTCGATTTCTGGGCATCGCCGTATGTGAATAGATTACCAGGTTGTGTGTGTGCGTCCCTTTGCGGCTGTTCTTCCTTTTTCCTGTTTTTGGTTTTTACTGTCTTCTGCAGGTATCCACTTAAATTTGCACTTCTCTACTTTCCATTTTGTAATAAAGGTGAAATTCGAAATTCAAGAATTGGGAAATGGATCGGCGATCATATCGTGTGAAGGAATTGGATATACACGGGCAAACGTTGTAAAATAATGACGGTTACAGTTGATTTTTTGTTGTTGAAGAAAATGGTCTATTTATCTGTTGGAAGTCACTTTACAGTTGTTTTTTTCTACTTGTGTTATTGGATTGGATATCTTCATTTATGCTTTTATTTTGTGGAAATTCTATGCAGTTTAATATTTTTTTGGAATATATATTTTATATTAAATTATATTTGTTTCGAGATATTTGGGATGGAAGGATTCTATGTATTAATATTATTATTCTTCCCGTGGGTTCCAAGTGGAACATAGGGCTTCAAGAGCACGTACCCACTTTGTCCTATTTTCTTCTATCGTCTTCACCTGGCTAGCTCCACGGTTGCCCATTATGTGTCATCTCCTGCCTGTCACCCTCTGACCAACTACGCCCAACTCAGCATTTCCCATTTTGGATTCCACTTGAGTGTTGGCCTGCAGCATTGCGCGCGAGGTCATTTGACGGTCGACCCAATCCATCTCCATTTTCTTCTGAATATTTGTTGAGCAATCGGCTCTGGCTTGTTGGATTGTTCCCATGGTTTCTTGTTGCTAACTGTTTCTAACCGGCTATTTGGTCTTCAATATGGAGCCAGGGAAGTGGGCAGCTGTTGATAAAAGTCTGTAGCTGGCTGTTGAAAATGGTCTTGGCGATGGGAGCGCCAAGTCTCTGGCACATGTTGAAGAATTGACTTGTGTGTGCTAGGAAGAAATTCCGATTTATACTGTCTAGTGAACTGTTGTTGGACGGAACACTCAAAAGACGTGGTCTATCTGAAACATGTAATGTATTTCCACGACACATTTCAAACATTCTAAACACACATACACGAGCACTTGTCGTGCACATTTATATAGAAGGCAAGAGAATATGAATTTTTGCAGTACACGTCAAGATCACATACAAGAGGTGGAAAGATGACGTAAGGATGTGAGGTATAAAAAAGGAAGGGAGAGGGTGAAAGTATCATTAAGTAAATTGGTTCCATATTGGATTGCCAAGGCAGGTTCAAAGTAATAAATAATTTTTCGGGACACAAAACAGTTTTAAGCATTATTCTAATCAACCCTGTAACTCGTCTCTTTGAGGTGCTTCGTTATAGATGATGTTAGACATGTATTTATAGGATCAGTTGTATCCAGTGATTTTATTTGTTGTTGCAGCCACTTTGGAATATATACTGTTGCCCGAATCTACATAGACCGATGGGTACTATATATATATATATATATATCCATGCACATGTAAGTTGATAAACTCAGTGGGATGTGACAGTGTTGTTCGGATAGTGTATAGGTCTACAGGACAGCATAGACCTTCTTTTCTCTATGAAAATAAGTTTGGCTGCATAGTAAGTTCTATTAATTAATTGCCACTCTGAGTTTTTGTTCAGTGATCAGACTTTGTTGATCACCCTTGAATGCCAAGGATATATACAAACATCCTTTTTGGGAGTTGACTGGATCTGTGGAGCTCTTTGTTTGTTACTTCTGTAACGGCTAATGAATTTCAAGGGATAGTTGGTATCTAACAATATTTCAGTGAGGTGGTGTGTTTCGTCTTCAAGGGTGCCGACTGTACTCATATGGTGAATGCTGTGTCTGAACAGGCACTTAACCAACGCCTTTTTATACTGTAGTAGACAGAAACTATGGTAATTTAGATACTGTCTCGTCCATATTGACTTCCTGTAGACAGATCTTTTTATTAAACCATCTTGTCGGCGGGTTATGAGTACATCTAGAAATACCAAGCAATCATTATTCTCTTTCGCGTTTATGTTATGCTGTCCTCTGTACTGTATTGATCTAGTTAAGGATTTCTATGTCATCTGTGTGTTTATCATAAATGACTATTGTCTTATCCACGTATCTTTTATAAAATAAACTTTTCCATTTACGTCTTCAGCTAGGTTGTCAATATGCGGATGTATATATCAGCTAACAGTGAACCTAAGGGGCTTCCTATAGCAACGCCATCTATCTGTCGGAAATGTTGGCTCTCAAGTGTAAACTTAACATTGTTAGTACATAAAAGCAGTCCGAAATGTGTTGGGCAAATACGTTACACCACACTTTCGGATAAACTACGTCTTCTTGTTGTTTTGTAGAGATTCATAAAGGGAACCAATTACCTTAAATCAACTGTTGTTCCCCCTCAGTGTTTTTATCCCGATAAGTAGTCAAAACCTCTTTTAATTACTAAGTGTTTGCTTTTTGTAGGCATGTGATTAGTTTACAAGTGGTGCGTGGTGTTGCTGTGTATACGCATCTCGAATTGACAGAAGTTAAGAATCATAAGCTTGTTGAATGTGGTGGGGAGCGGTCTGAGTGGTTGTTTGAATGGTCTACAGGAGCTCGCCTTGTAATCCGAAGGTCCTGGATTCGAAACTGAACTAGAACAACGCTTCCTAGTTTCCCAATATATCTGTAACTGCTAACAGCTAGTCGGTCGAGAACCTGAAAACTATTTGACACTGATTCGAAGTGTTGTCCATGTGTTATAGCGCTTGATACTCAAAAGTGGGACCGGAGTAAATTGTTCTAAGGAAGGTACTGATTGTATCCGGCTGGATTCTTCACTCACCAGATAAACACAGTTACCCTTAACTTTGGTCTATTGTAGTCAGTGTGTTCATTAATCGTTGATATTTGTCTGAGTATCAACCAGGGTCCTAGAAATTCCCTAACTGCATTTTTGGTGTTTCCTCTATTTAAAATCTCTACATTATCCCAATCATCAAACTGGTATCCGTAATTATCCACAAGCATCGATATGAAAGAATAGAACATATCGTGCCCTTTCACATCTGATTTACGTCCTTGGATTCGGACACGACGAGGATGTCCAGTTTGACCAATGTAATCTTTATCGCAATTCATACAATTTACTTTGTAAGTGGTGTGTTACTGATCTCTTATCTTCTTTTGCTGTTGGATCTCTCAGTCTGCACAGTATCGAATTATGTGGTTTTGTTGGCTTGTGTGCTATGTTTATTTCAAACGGCTTTAGTGTTCTGGCGGTTATATCAGAGATAAAAGTCAATCTGAACGAAGAATATTCTTTTCAATAATTTCTCTTCAGGTTCTTACAATTATAAAATATAATATTTGTTGTCGTTACAATAAAGGGCAATTATGCGGCGGATACATTTTTAACGTAGAATAACAGATAAGTTATAGGGTGTCAAAATAAGTAGTCGTATTTGTGTGACAAACGTGCTAGGTTGAATTCAATTACAAAATATTGTAAAACGGGAGACAATAGTGATTAATCATAATAGATTTGTAGAGTGTGGGGTAGGAAAATTGACAAGTCAGTTCAAGGTTATAAAAGGTGTCAGGTGATTAATCGTAATAGATTTCTAATCGAATTCAGCCTAGCACGTTTGTCACACAAATACGACTATTTATTTTGACACCCCATAACTAATCTGTTATTCTACGTTAAAAATGTACCTGCCGCATAACTGGCCTTTATTGTAACGACAACAAATATTATATTTTATAATTGTAAGAACCTGAAGAGAAATTATTGAAAAGAATATTCTTCGTTCAGATTGACTTTTAATTCATAATATGGGAATTTTCCACACCAACAAATCTTATATCAGAGATATTCTTTATAATATATGGTAGAGTGTACTTTCTTGTGATCTTTGATGATAGTTTCGTGTTGGTGTTACGACTTGGGTTTAAACACTTTTTGATGAAGTTGTGTGGGTATTCATTCCTTTTGAAGACAGTGAGTAGGTATTTCTCTTCAACACGGGAGTGCTATGTTGTGTTTGAACTCTAAGACCATTTGAAATAGATAAAACGCACAAGCCCACTCATTAACTTCATTCGATATTGTGCAAATCAAAAGATCCAACAGAAAAAGAAGATAAAATCAACACCATTTACAATAGAAATTGTATGCGATTATTTTCATTGTAGACTACATCACGAATAAGACATGAAGTGCTGTATTACACTGAGATTCTCTATGTCACAGTGAATGTATACGGTATCGCTGAGTCATGTATAGAGTGTGTGACTGTCCTCCAATCAGTGCGTCAGAATTAAATGTCTGTCGAATGTGTTTACAACTGTAATACAGTGTAAAAAGATTAGTTCAAGCAAAAGCAGGATTGAGAACCGAAGGTCAGTCCTCCGATGATGTCGTCAATAGTTTGAATATATTACGCCGGATTAAATGCATCAGTTTCACTCAAGATCTACAACAGAAAATATGAGCAAATTTTTATAAAACTCTGTCGAAGTCATTGGCAAAGAAGAAATTGTATGACGTCTACCCAGAAAATCCTGAGGGGTTTATGTGTGACCTGTCTAGTTTAAGGTTAAATTGCATTGAACAAGAAAGCGCTTCCCCTTGGATTTAACTTTCATACTCCGAATAACTTTGTGAAAACAACCGATGTCGCATTTCAATTCGAAAACTTATTCTTCCGAATTAATGACCTTATTCCAGTTGATGAGGACAAGAAGAGTTGGTTCAAATCTAAGCTGGTCGACGTTGAGAATAAGTACGTCATTTCACCAAAGTCATATTCTAAATCCCTTTCTGAGGAGCATTGAAATCTCCCAATTATTATTGTTATTTCCTTTAATTTCTAGAGGAACATAGGGCTTCAGCCATGCGTCTCCATTGCGTTCGGTTCTCTGCTACAGTCTTCACCTGGCTCCAAGTCTTCCCACACGTTTTCATCTCCTCTTCACATGACCTCCTCCAAGTCACCCTTGGACGACCAACTCGCCGCTTCCCTTTCGGGCTCCACTCGAGCGATGGCTTGTCTAGTGATGTCACTTGATGGTTTCCTCAGAGTATGGCCAATCCACCTCCATTTCTTCCTGCCTATTTGTTTCACAATTGGTTCCTGGTTGGTTCGCTCCCAAAGATCTCTGTTGCTGGTCTTTTCTAGCTGGCCATCTGATCTTTAGTGGTATTGAGCGAAGACAGCTGTTGATGAAAGTCTGTAGTTTGTTCGAAGTGGCCTTCGTGACGCTCGA